TCCGCAAGTACAGCCATTGAGATTTCACTCATGGCACATAAACAGATCCACTGCGAATCCGCCGACCAAGTGCTTGTCTACACAAGATTCAGGCAGGATACGTCTTCATGAATTATGATTTTACTCACTCGGACCAAGATGACTTTGAAATGTTGTGTTCAAAGTTAATCAGTTACCAATGACCAGATAGCCTAACTTAGCCAGGAGATTGCCAGAATGTGGCTTAAACTCACCGGACAGACTGAAATTGCTGCCTAAGAAGCTGAGTTACCGGAAGTGATGAACATGACGAATAAGAGCTAAGATCTTTGTGTGGCTGGGATTTTCACAATGTGATCAGCTCTTTTCGAGACCGGCAGGCTGCGGATCGTTTCGAAACGTAACAGGAAAGGTGAAGGGGCCTTCCGGCTAAAAAAATGGGAAACCTGTCGTTGTCAATGATTGGTGGGCAGCGTGTGTCTGTACAGGCAATGCAGTGACCAGATGTGCACAGAAACTTGTAGTTTTCTATCAGTAACAATAATACTCGGCATAGTGAGGTTCTTGGTAGCTCCCACGTATTGCTCTGAGTGCAAGGTGTCTCATAATAAACGCAACATTTGATTGGGTAAATAAACGTAGCCAATTTAAGAAAGGATAACAAAAATTCCATAATAATAATCACATAAAAGAGGTTTTGTGTTTGAGTGTTGACATTTTTTCTGTCTACAACAAATGCCAGCACGTGCGTTGAAATTGTGAAACTCTATTATTCCCTTGGTGAAAGCGCCACCGCTGCACGTCGTGGTTACAAAACCAAACATGGTCTCATCAAAGATCCTTTCACCTTGTCGAACATTACGCGCTTGATTGCGAAATTTGAGTCCACTGGATCGGTATTGGATTTTCCTGGCAAACAGAGAAAGTCTCTGTGTGATGAAAGAGCGCCAATTGCACAAAATGCCGTCGAGCAACTTCAGTCCCAGAGCACCATGACATCTTCGTCAATAACTCAGGTGTCTCAGTTGACCCGCATTCCCCGCGCCAGCGTGCATCGTATTATGAGACGCACAAGAAGTCATCGGTCGTCTTTTACCAGGATGGGGCTCCACCCCACTACTCAAACCAAGCGAGAACTTACCTCCGAGAGCAATTTTCTGATGAGAGAGTCATTGCTCGTGAATTTCTAAACTTTTGGCCCGCAAGGTCACCCGATCTCACACCTCTAGATTATTGGTTTTGGGGAATGATCAAGGCTCACGTATATCATGAAAATAAACCGAAGAATTTGGTGGAGTTAAGAGCAAGAGCTGAAGAGTAGTGTGCACGAGTGACGCTTGAAGAAGTTAAACGTGCTGTGTCTCACATCTCATACCGCCTCCAACTTGTTATAGAAGAAAGGGGCTGTCTTTTCTAATATTTTTTGTAATGCCGGTTTATTTGCAGTAAACCTCCATAATGCATGTATGTTTACATAAAAATAACGAATTTATAAATTAATGTTAAAGTTTAAACAAATTATATTACGTTTTGCGTTTATTATGAGACACCCTGTAGTCTGAGAAATCGCTCAATCGGATGGTTCGCAGGAGCCAGCAGCCATCTCTGAACCTCCCTCAGAAGACTGTCCCAACATCAGATGGCGGTCGGTTCTTCAGCCATCGGCCAACCTCAACAGGAAACTGATGTTAACCGAGTGTGTGTGATCATGGTTGTGAAACATAGCTCTTGACTGGTTTAGAAGATTGGCCCTGTCTTTACCGATTCTCACCTTGTTCACGGCTGGTGACCTTCCTTAATCTACTGATATTTATTTCAGGTGTCAGGTTCGCCAGTGACTCAAGTGATTGAGTTCCCTGTGTCCCTCTATTGTTAAAACACATCGGAACTTCTGGTCACAGGTAGAAAAGTGTGATACAACTAGGCTGTTTGAAACACAGCGCTTGAATGATACGACATAGAAACTGACCAGTCTTTGTTCACGGTAAATCAACCACTGAGTTAGCATCCTGTGGGCGCGTACATTTTGACTGAGCACTTGAAACGGATATTGTTTCGACGACAGGTTGACGTAGTGAGCTTACATCACGTGCCACTATTGTCGATGAATTGTCTAGGTCACGATTGAGGCCTGCGTGTCGTGCTATCGATTGAATCGATTGGTCCTTGTTATCGTTTCTTTGTTGACTCATCGGTGCTGTCGACTGGTGGCATTTGGACAGGGATTATCCAACGTCGATATTTTTTAAGTCTATCAGACCGCAGCTGCAGATGAACTCATGAATAAAGTGTGACTTGTGATCCGAATCAGTTCAACCAGATACGTGCCTGGAATTTGTTACGCTCTTCGTTAATAAGGTGACACTAACCGAATGGAATTATGAGTAAAACCCCCTCCTTTTCCATGGCTTGATAAGCCACACACATATAAAAGATCGGTTAACTTTTTATGGTCCACTGTAGCTATAAACCCTTCTTATTTCGGATAGTCACCTGCATGTGTGCGTATGTGCTCACATACATTCCGCATAAAGGTTGAGAATCGCAGGTACTCGTCACTTTAGGTGGCTTAGAGGTAAACTGTTCGTATGGGAGAGCTCTCCCTGCCTCTCGTGAGGGGGTGTTGTACACTGCTTCACTGGTTACTCGTGAGTTCTGGTGAACGGAATTTATCCGTGCTAAAGCGACGAATGCGGTAGAGAGTTGAAAATGTTTGTATACCGTATAAATCGCGTTTAGAAAATGACGCAGCTTCTATGTTCGTTTCCGTCATGTCAAGAAGATCATCACCATAAACTGGACATAGGGGGCAACCCGTGGCTACGACTCTTGTCCGAATGAATGCTGAGTTGTCAAAGGTAGAACGGACAACTTTGATGCATGAAAGAATGAAGTCTTTCAGGGTTTCACTTAGCTGAATCCGCGAATCCTATTTTGTTCCTTGGCTGTTTCCTATGTGCACCACGGTCTGCTCAATCAGCTGGTCACCGCAAAGAGTGTACGTCTTCAGCCAATGGAATCCACGACAATGTCGCGGAATTGACTTTCGACCCTTCAGCCAGAGTGACGTCCGACTCTTGGTTTCGGTAACACGATGGTGTATTCCACATTTACCTTGCAGCCCACGCTGATGATTCGGGTACTCCTAATCTCGGTGAAAAATCAGCGATACATTGATTTTATTCCATCGGGAGCTCCACACGGCTGTTTTTTCATGGACCGTTGACGTCAATGATTGTTGACCATATAGCTTGGTTAAAACCGAATGGCAAGTGCATATGACCCTGTTACGTAAGCGGGTGCGGTAGATTGTGAGTGTTTCAAGCTTCGCGCTGTGGCAGATCAGTTCACGTGCTTGATCTTTAGCTATGGAGCTACACTCACCAGACATCATAAATATGCTTAAACGCTCCCCTAGACTATGATGGTTCAGCAAACCACCATTGAATGTCAACGACTGCCTAATTTGGTGCGTGGTTTAGAGAGGATCAGCCTACCTCACAACGGCTATTAAAACAAGATTGAATTATTCCAAATCACCAGATAACCAGAGAGCAACCACAGATCTCCCACAATCCCAAACGAATTCCACTCCATAGTGCCACTTTCCTGGTATTTTTGGGTTTGCCACTTTGCCCAATTCTGTTCTTTCAAGCACATTTCTGGACGAAATGCGAAAAGTTCACTCACAGAGAACAGCACTGACCACCACCAGGAGAACCAATCCACGATGCTCTAGTTGGATCGCCTCTTTCGGAAGCTAGAGAGGTTCGCCTACAAGTAGATACGGCACACGAACCAAAGGACTTTTGACAACCAATACACACCGCATTTTTGCCAGTACAACAGCACTCAGTTCAGGGTCAAAACCGTAAAATCAATCTCTGAAAAGATTGTGAAGGTCATACCAGGCTTAATTGTACATCTGTACAAAAAACCCGGTAGCCTTTCGGCCTATCATAGTGTATGGTTTTCATCTCAAACTGACTAAGTGACAATTATTTGCACGTTCATGAATTATCTGCGGTTTACTTTTGATTCTTCCGAGCGTGATATTATCGATGACATATAGTGCTTGCCAGGTGTCACGGATACAAGTACTGATGGGATAACAGTCTTCTGGAGAGTGAGCGTACGCCTGACTAATGGAGTATTTTACAATCAACAGGACCTTTTGGGGTAGACAAAGCTGCCAGTAGTGAATTGTTATTGGGAAGATACGGATTTAAAAAAGAAAAGAATTAGTACCAAGCAAGTATGCTTAAGTGTTGCACCAGAGTGAAGGGGGCAGATTTATATTAGTGCAGCTCGACATCATCCCCCTCAAATCAATAGAAACGGCCACTAATCAATAAAAGGCGACTCGGTCACCAACCTCATATCCTTATTTACTACACGATTATGTGTATTCATTCACTTCTCCATGCAAATCGCTCCACTGATATATCACCAGCAGTGATTTCGAAGGTTTGATTTGTGAGATGCTCACTGATGATATCACTCGAAAAACATATACCTTTTGTGCGGTGGTTCTCTACTTTACATCCTGAACGGACTCTACTTGTACGGGGCATTGATTTAGACAAAATCTGTATTAAGAACACACTAGAGCCCTGCGTGAAGACGCTTTGAAACTGTTAGAGTACGTTTATCTTTTTGGTTTTCTCTCACACACACAGAAGTAGGGATTGAGCACTTGAAGTAATTCGGGCTTTAGACGGTTGTCCGTGTTTCTATCACCCATAACAATCGCTCTGTTAGTCTACCAACCTGGGGAAATGCGTCACTCGTTCCTGAACACTGCCCCTTAAAGGATCCGTTTTGCGTAGTGCAATGCGTTCAACCGGGTGAGAGTAGGAAGGAGAAACGATGAATGATACTCGCAGGCTACAGGAGAAACAGGTAGTGAGCATTTTTCTAGTGACCTAATGAGCAGTGTGTTCTGTCGATAAGTTATGGGCACAGTCTGCGCGGCACAAACACACGGACATGGCTACTTCCCTGAACAGCACGATCAATAAGGTCACAAGCAAAGGTCCGCTTTATTCAAACAATTTGTTTGGATCAATATCACAGTCACTACCGAACAAAATGAAAAAAATGGACAGAAATTATAGTTTAGCGGCGGGAAAGGCATTGTATGCGCAACCGGTTTGTCCCTCGTTGGCCTTCTCGGCTAAGAGTTGTACAGTGCTATAGTCCACTCCCTTCTCGGTTTCTATATGATAGGTTCCCAGCTTTTGAACTTCAACAATCTCAGTTTTGATCTGGTAACAGTTCACAATACGGACACCTCCCAAAGTCGCCTCCCGAAGCTACAAATGAATGAAAAACGAACAACGTGAGCGATGCACCTGCCAGTAGAAGAAAGATTCAGGCACGGAAATAACCATAACACGCACGGCTAAGTGAAAGCATACCTTATGACAAATATTATTGTCTTCTGGTCCTGTGAGGAATACCACTAAATTAAATAATAAATAAATAGATGTCTCTATTAGATGGAGCCACAAGGATGCTACAGCGCATTTTACTACCAGACAATTCAATTTATAAATCCATAAGTAGGTACATATCGCAGAAAAATAGACAAAAAGCTAGTAATTACTCTTAATATTATACTCACAAGCTTTATTAGACAAGTGCGGACGACCGGGTACATCTGAAAATAAATTTAAATTTATGTAATCCGTAAATTCTATCTTTTTTTTACAGTGTCAACACAAAGTGTGAAATAAAATGTGTTGGATGTAACTGCACTTGAGAATCCTAGAAGTTTTAGAATAAACATTAACTTCATGTCTGTTTGGAACTTAAACTACTCAAGTTAACAACTAAGTTTACACTGTATTGGTCTCCTTACGGAGTCTTTCGAAAATGACTTGATTTCCGAAAGTGGAAATTCCCATTTGATCCTTTACCTCATGGCTGTGTGAAAGGTTGTATGCGGATCTAACTGTGTACTCGAGTGCAGGGGTCAGAACGGGCAAAAAACAGGTCGTCAAAGGGTGCCAGGTGTAACTGCAACTGAAAGAAACGGTCGACAGTTTCGTAAGAGCGTAATTCTTAGAACTTACAACAAGAATGATATAGACCACAGTGCTCTTCAAAACAGACTGATTTTTTTAACGAAGACGCCCTAATTAAAACTTCAAAATGTGTGCAGCTCATTAAATACGGAGCTGAAGATGTTAAAAATGCAAGTAGCCTTCGAATTTTGCGGTTAAAAGTGCTTTATTGAGTTTGATATCTACTTATTGAATTAACTAGTGTTCACAGTGGCTTATCTCTGCTATTTTGCCAGTCCGCGTGTTGCAATGTCATTCGATGTAGCATTCACTTTAGCGTCATCTAGATCATCCACACGCTTTCGACCAGAAGAAACCTGGAATTCCGACATACGTAGGTGTTACGAGAATTTCACTCCCGTTGAAAGTATGCCTCACAAGTGTGGAATCGATAAAAAGGTTGGACGACAACGTACTCAGACTACGCTGATGATCAGCAAAACGAAGACCTCGTCGTAAAAAAGTTCTTGGATTGCAAATTGCCATATAACCATTTGTAATGAACAACTCACAGTAAGGGTAGGTAGGAGTACATAACAGTAGAAACACATCCCACACACAAAAGGCAAAACACTTAAAAAACCGAACAGATGCAGAGGATGTTTACAGGCTGTCGAGTTACAAATTTCGAATATTGCGTTGGATAGTAGCAAGCATTTTTCACCCGTTTATATGACCAACTTGCCTATTGTGGTGTCACAGTTTCCATCGGGCAGAACTTGTGTGTTTACGTACCATCCGAAAAGGTTTGCCTTCCCTTGGTAACCCTCGGGAATTACCTTCGAATTCAGACGAACGTCGTAAATCGGGTGCCCATTGTTTTTCTGGTGCAAAGAGCACTTGCCCAGCATTGCTCCAATAGCCCAAACGTCAATGTTCTTTGTGATAAGCTGAACAAAGAGATATACTGGAGTTAGTTAACTGACAACCTGAAGCATGTAAACTGAGAACATGCCATAACTTGTGCGCAGATGGGAACGCATTCTTTTTTCATCCCATCTGTTTCATCAGCAAGCATTTATGACTTACTTGGGCACAAAGGGGTTGTTCGTCGTACTTATCTGCGTCAGCCATCCTTTGCGTAACCGTTACAGCTAGAATATTTTAAACGGCGCGTTAGAAAACGTGGCAGATGCAGACCTAAATGCTTTCTTTCCATATTTAAAGATAAATTTATTGACACATGGATCTATCAGCGTAAAAAAAACAAATTCTATGCCGAGGTGTTGTGTAGATACGTTACTATATAATTTATTTGGCTTGCGCTTATATATTGGAATTATAACAAGGTGGGAAATAGAGTAGTCAAGATAATCACCATAGATTTCCAAAAAGCTTGTATCCATACTACTTACGGGTTATCATTAATCATGGGAAATAACAAAAAGGCAGAAGAACGTTTGTCCACGTTCCATCGGTACTTACATAGAGAATTAAACCTGGTCATCTGAAACAGTTTTGCTCCGCCTGATACTGCCAATAAAACCAGTAGGAAAAACGTAAACATTGCTATTGAGGCCAGAACTGAGTTTACAGTTTATATAGAAACGTCAATGCGATTCCGAATGATTTGATTGGTTCAGAACTGTAGTCAAGGCCACTTTTGGCCTGAAGTAACCCTGAGACCCCCTTGATCTCTGATCAATCACAGTGCATGAATCATGTTCTAGCTATTGCGCACTTGCTTGACAACAAGTGAGAACATGTTCAGGTTGCATATTACACCACGACGCCATCACAACGAGCAGGATGGGACAACGAAAAACATTTGAGTGTAATGAACGCGCACCTCAAACACCATCCCCTCTCCAATTTCCAGTATGATTGATCCAACGATGACTGGTACTTTGTGTTCCAATAATCCATTCAACCACCTGTGGAAATTACTCTTCCCATTACATCCTCTACTGCGATTCGATTTCGAGTGATTTTATTATATCTCCCATCTAGATTTAAGTCGGAAACTAGCCATCGGGTGCACCAAACGTTTACCACTACAATCTATGGGTCTTAAAACTGAAAAGGGATGTGCTCAACAAATGCAGGCAAGAGGCAGTTCCTTCCTCAAATGTAATACTCAAGAGCCAAGGTAATCCCTCGATCACAGCCCTCTCGTGGTCAGTAAAAGACAACACTGTGGCACCTTAAAAGCCAGTATTCTACAACCCTCACTCTTAACGACAATAAAGTCTGAACGCTTCAGTCCAAGCGAGAACAGAGATTATCAGTATCTCACTTGATCGTATTTGAATCGTAGTGATCCAGCATCCTGGGTGACAAATTGTCGATTCGTCCACTGTGGTTGAATCGTTCAGTTTAACTGCTTTTCCCTGGGGTGACCTCATATCATCAAAGTCCAAAGTAGGACCTTTCAGTTGTTACTTACCGATACAATGCTACTTTATTATCATCAGATGAATCCAGAATGCTGTAAAGGCGTTCCTATCAGAACGTTTAGACAGACAGGCCTACGTCGCACAGTCCGCGTACACACTGACCCGTAATAATATCATCGCCATGCGAATATGTGTGTTGGGGACATGGCATGCGAGCTGTTATAACTGATTGCTTCCCCGCTCAAGTACTTCAGTGCCGCAAAAAGACTCTTTGACAAGGAACACAACAGCTTTGTTGCAAACGGGCGAGTGGGTGCGAAAAGTAAGACGACCTCGAACCTCTCTGCTTCCGTCACTCTGCATTGGACATGGAAAACAGCATTCTCTTCGGCAAACGATGGCTAGGCATATGCAACACATGTCCCAACCAACACAGCTTCTGCTGCTGGGCACATTCCTCAATGGAAGTACCTGTTGCACAACCGAAAACGCGGTTTCTAACTGCCTCGTTACGGATTCGCCGACACCAACCCACGCGAGCTATGGTTCTGAGACAACGATTGTCGAACACCTGAAGACGTCTCAGGTCCGCTCCTCGAATAGGCCAAGTCTCACAGCCATACAACAAAACAGCCCGTACTGTAGCTTGATACACACGTCCCTTCAGATTCAGGGATAAACCATTCTGACGCCGTAGGTGTCTCAAGTTAGCAAACGCTGCCCGAGCCTTGCAGATTCGTACATTCACCTAATCTCTCATACTACAATCAGAACTAATACAACTTCCAAGATACGTAAAACGCTCCACAACTTCCAGTACCTCTCCCTGGATTTTAAGTGCGTGTTCAGTGACTGCACGTCTACGAGCATGATATTACACCTTGTAGGTGCAAAAGTTCATAACAAAGGACGGGATGACTTTGGTCAGTTCACCCAAAAACACCTGCGCCTTCTCCCCCTCTCAATCTCGTCCCAGTATGCGTTCACATCTCATGGTGCGGCACTTGAAAGGGACTCTAGAAGACGATTCTGGTGTGTTCGTCTAAAATCCTGATCTACCACTCTTTCAGTTGCCACCTTACGCGGCCCTGGAAAACGTAGCGGGAAGTTACTCCGGACGTAATCTACAAATATGTTCCAAAACGAATAGCAATCAGTTATTGATCCGCACTGTCGGTAACTGATGGCAAAGTGAGCGATTTGAGTTTGCGGCCGTCATGTCGGTGGAGTGCTCAATGTGGCCAGACGATTTCGGCTACTTCACTCATAAAATATAAGGCGACAAAGCACAATTGACGCCAGCGGTCTCGTTAAAACCGGGGTTAAGTTGATCCCTCTGTGGCTACCCCATTCACTACGAGAAACTCTTGAAAATGAGCACTATCAACAGTTTTCTTTTCTCAAATGCAGGCAAACAAATCAGACAAGCGCTGACTGAGGATTTCTCCCTCGTCTTTGGACCGCCAGACCAGGAACTCGGTGGCGCTTGAGAGAACATACGCAGTCGTAAACCTCCGAGGCCGTAGGTGGCTCCACGTTCACCGTCCAGGGTTCTACTTCACCTGTGGTCTCTAGATGGGTACCAGCTGGTGGCCACGACAGTTGTTGTTCGAAGTATTCGGCCCAACTGTCGAGGCCTTCTTCTTTATTCAAAATGGTAGTTCCATTCTGAAGCATGATGGTTCCGCTCACAGGTGGTTTCCGGTGACCGGTAGCACGGATCAACTGGAATAACCTTCGGGCATGACCGGTTTTCTGGGCCTCTTCCGTTTCTTTGGCTGTCTGGGTCCACCACACTTCACGGTGGACTCACTTTCACTTGACGTTTGATAATTCTTCGTATCGGGTTATGTTCGGGACCGGCTGGGTTATTTCTCGGAGATTTAAGCAGTGCCAACGTTCTTTCTGATATCCAGTGCTTGTTTGTGCCTGGTGGTACCATGCCACAGGCAAAATTCCCAGCAGTGTGTAACGAGGTGGCAATCTCGTCCCAGTATGCGTTCACATCTCATGGTGCGGCACTTGAAAGGGACTCTAGAAGACGATTCTGGTAAGTCGTTTGCCATCCGGACCTCCGACTCTCTCAGTTACCAGGCGATTCGTCCGCACCTTAAGCGACTCAGCTTACAGTCCGGTCACTCTACATTGTAAGATATCCGGCGCTACCCTGTACGCAATTCTCTTCAGATAATTCGTGAATGAGCAATTGGTACTTCACCAGAGGGAGAAGCAACGTAAAAGCCAGATCGGCTGCATGAGATTGTCTCCCAATCGATTCTATTTGATACGTAAATTCGAACGACTTCAACCACAAAACAAATGAGCAGAGTTAGTTGCAATGTGGTGCGATAGAAGTGCCGCTATCCACCTTAGCAAAGCTGGCGTATGTATGGGTTGCTCTTTGTACGGTCTCAAAGATTGGATTAGGTTACGTGCACTCCATCGAACGTGAGTCATTTCGCTAATTGAGGAGGAAGGGTGGAGACCAAGATCAACGACGTAACTTTGTAGTATGGCTTCACGTCCCAAGAGAAACGTGCGTGTTGACAGGTCTACCGGAAGACTAATGTCACCAACCGATAGCCCGTCATGAGTTGAATTTCGTCATCAAAGTGCAAATTTTGCCTCACCCTGTCGGTGAGTCACTACCCAGCTAGCGCGAAATGAGGTGTTTACGTGTGAGGCTCTAGTGGATCTGAGGTTTCCTTGGCACTGTTCACACACTATTCAATCTGTATGATTTCTGCTGGTCAGCCATGGTTGTTGTGGCAAGTTTGATGCGATCGGAGTATCGTGATATTGGTGTGCATCAAAGCGTCTACTTCGTAGTAGTCTGGGATGTAGGTGTCCGGAACAGCGCGGAGTAATGACTACATCAAGTGGGCTTCGCAAGCACTGGAACTGTGTGACACGACTCAAACTACTTCTCACGGAATGGGGTGAGGATTTTCAAGGCCTTATCAGTACATGTCCGGGGTTGGAGTAAAGCAGCTTGTATTGTGGCACAGGATAACGCCTGTGAATCTGTGACCTGACAAATCGAGGTGTGAGTGATCATATGTGAGAATAGGCTATCTGATGATGGCATCTGCGACTGAGTTGGCTGGTCACAATGTGCTTGCAAAAAGCGGTGCGTGCTTATCTCGTTATACAATGATGCCATTCCAAGCCATTGACTGATTACGTTGGTGATGATGATGATGACGATGATGATTCGGATGATGATGATGACGATGATGATGATGGTGATGATGATGATGACGATGATGATGATGATGATGATGATGATGATGACGATGATACTGGCGATGATTATCTTGGCCATGATGAGTACCGGGGCAATATGGACATGTAGGCTTTCATTTGTATGGCCACGGTTTATTGATGAATTTCTGGCTGCTCATTTTTAGGTTTAGTGCAGCCGACACAAACGAAGCTATTCTAAACCCGTTGTTGTCGATCAATGTACGTGTTACTTTTAGCAGATTTCAATAGTCTGCTCCGGATGTCGGCTATCCCTTCTCATACCATCAGTAGTTTGCGGATTTAAGGGTGAGACGAACTCTTGATCAAATAATTGAATGTTTTTAGTTGTCTGACCAGAACCCATGGATCACTCAGTTACAAACCAAGCCACAAGTTCCACTTATTTTATTTCCCGTCAACGGTAATATGTTTGCTGCCTTCTGCAGTATGAGGCTCCGATTTCCACGCATCAACTGCTGCACGTATCTGTGTTTAGTCACGTATGAACACCTTGATTCTGGAAATAAGATATCCCTTCTCCATATTACATATTGCTCAACTTATTCATGCGGTTTTCTATAGAGGGGCTTGCACAGTCTTTTTGCAGAGCTACATACGCAGAGTGATGAAATTAGCAGCCAAGTATTCAGTCTAGAATAACCTAGGCGAGAATCAAATAGAATTTCGGTAGGTCTGTATTGTAGTTCACAGCAAGTCAGAAAAACACGTAAGTAAGGAGACGGGTGTAGTGAGAATTCGCGGCCAAAATGGTCCGCTTTCGTGAGGGTAAGCAAACAACTGAGTCACATTCAATCAACCCGGAGCCCAGTAGCCGCACAATGTTCTTAGCTGCAAAACCTTTACCAGTGGAGTAAAGCCTTTCGTGCCAAAATGTTGCGCTTTGTTGAGCATGTGCTCAA